GCATATGTCACAAGGTGATGTATGTACATAAACAGAGATGGTTTTCTGTCCATCTGTTAGATAGGGCAACTCCCACCTCAATGGGATGCCATTCGAGGTAATCATCGGTCTCTGACAAAAGAGTGGCATATTATCTTGTCTCTGCACTTACTATGTTCTTTTTCTAGCCATTTCCAGCGAATCTTTAGATGGAGGGACTGTTGAGCGGGCGGTTACTAATGTAGGTCCAACTTCTTTTACTTCCCTCTTTTGCTTCTGTGTCTTTGTCTTACCTTTTCTCCTCTCTAAATGACTGCCTTTGTCATATGCTTCTCTTTTCACATAAACGGAGGGTCAGGTTGATCAAAAATAGATTCCCAACTACTCATAATATCACAGAGTGATTGTGGTGCCCGTCCTTTGGATTAATTGAGTGTACCATTTATAGAGTGTTTTACTCAAAATAAAAAAGAAATGTTTTGTGAGGCAGGGTGGTAAGATCAGAAGTGGAAGAAAAAAACCTGGCATTCTATAACTTTCTTTCAGTTTGGCAATTTTTATTTAAATTATTGGGGTTTTTTTTGCTTAACACCTTTTATGTCCATATAAAGATATATTTCCATGCGAATTTTACTGAAAAATGTTAATTAAATAAAGGCCCAAAATATGTACATTTTCTGTTTTCAAGGATTCTCAAGTTATTGAAGTTACCAAACTTTGGCAGCCATTTTCTCACAAATTTTACTCTGAAACTAGGTGACTCCCACCTCCTTCAATCGCAAATAGTACCTCAATTTCTATTTAAATTACATGAGTTTTTTTTTCGGCAAAGGCAAGGAAAATGAACAAGCTTTCAGATGATACTAATAACACCACACGAAGTCCGAAACTTGACGAGTGCCTGATTCCACGACATCGTGACACATGTACTTCCAGCTGGCAAGTATAGCCTCGTGCTAAGATATACATTTTTCTGAGCCAGATGTTCAGAATGTTATATGCAAATATACAAAGCAGTAAAGTGACAGAGCAACCATGAGAATGTAGGGATGTTGCCCCTTGTTACTCATTTTATGAGACAACAAGGGTGACTGATGCTTCTGTGCCCAGGAAAGGGTTGAAATTATAGGAGTGTGTTAAAAATGGGGTTGGTAATTAGGGGGGAGGGGGAAAAAGGGAGGGGGCTGATTTGGGTTCAGAGGTTGAGTATTTGTAGTACAACGAATTGGCCTGATGAAGGCTTTTAGGGTATAGATAAAGATTTATATACAGTGACATACCTGTGGTCTTCGCCTTGACCTTGAACATTCTCTGTAAGAAACTGGTCTGTCTGAGAGTTACAGCCAGAGCTGTGGAGTTGGAGTCGGGAGTCGAAAGTTTTTTTTAGTGGAGCTGGAGTCAGAGTTGTTTTAAAAAATTAACAGGAGTTGAGTTGGACCCAGAGTTGTGAGAAAATGAGGCTCGAGTGAAATCGGAGTCATAGTTGGGAAATAAGTTGTAAATGGGGTAGAGTCAGAGTAAAAGGTATGACTCCTGTCTCCAATATAAAGAACGACAAGATTCCATGACAAAATATTTTCTTGGATATCGTTCACACACACACACAAACACACACACACACACGCGCGCGCACACACACACACACACACACACACACACACACACACACACACACACACACACACACACACACACACACACACACACACACACACACACACACACACACACACACACACCTTATCCTTCTCCCTTCTCTCTCTTTCTCTGTCTTGGTCTCTCTCTCTCTCTCTCTCTTTCTGTGTGTTTCACTCCCCTTCTAACTCCTCCATCTCCTTTCATTCTATCCTCTACATTCTGTCTCATTAATTCCAGTTTGAGCAGGCCCTGCCTTACATTTTGGAGGTGTCTGAACTGAAAGTGAGAGTGGTGTGTGAACATTTCCAAGAATATGTTTGCTGTTAATGGTTAACATTTTCAAGGAACAAAGTGAAAGCGAGGAAACCATTTTGTATCAGCTTTTAGTTGGTGTTTACAGTTTGCAGCGTTGCTGTCCTTAAAAAGATAGTGAAAATTGTTACTTTGTTTGCCTGCTGTCAGTTTTCATAAGAAAAGGTAAATGAATTTATTGAATGAAATATCCCACGCGGCTGTGCTACTGACTGAAGTGTCTTTAAGCAATTCCCAAAGGGGGGACGTTAACATTTTCTTATGATGCACAGTGTAATTGTAAATGGGTTGATTCATCAATGTCATGCTCATAACTGTGCTTGAACTGCAGCATGGGACTGCTGCTTTTTCTTTCCTAGTCCTTACTATCCTCATTTTCCTCTACTTCTTTTGTATATTTGTCACACTCTTGTGACCCGCTATTTCTGGGTGCCTTGATAGTTGAAGCAGACTTTGTGCTGTGGAAGCTAAAGAGGTAAGCAGAGTAAGGACTTCTCTGTTTACATCCACCCCTTGGCGCTCATATGACCTTATGCAGTTGCAAGCACCGTAATACCTCTACTAAAACTAGATGAATTGAGTGAAACATACAAATAAAAGAAAAATTCCATCGGCTTATATACACATTCAGTTATTCTGTAATAGTTTAGATATAAAGGGAGGGCAATATCCCTCATTGAATAAAGTGTGTAATGGCAAGAAATTGATAAATGATCATTATCAATAGATAAGATCAAGATACCAAGGGAAATTTAATAGAGCCGCCGTGATCTAGTGGTAGGTCACTCGACTAACGTCAACTGTCCGGGGTTCGGTTCTTGGTTGTGTCGGTGTGATGATAATATGTGGTTCTGTCTCCTCATTGAATGACCTCACCGTGTTGATTTTCTTCCATTTACATTTGTTTTGTTGGGTTTTTTTTTTCCTTTTTCAAAGATGTTACTTTTCAGGTACTTTTGGAAAATTATCTATTCCATTTGGCTTTGCCTGATATTATGATAGAATGTGTATTGCTTTTCGTATTGTCCATTTTAAAACCTTTTTAAAAAAAAAAACTACTCAGATTCATTTGTGAACCCAAGCCAAGAGGTTGATTTATTTATTCATTTTTTACTCTCAGATTGATTTGTAAACGAAAGCCAAGAGATGAATTATTCTCTTTTTATTGATAGTTGTATAATAAATTCAAAGAAATTAGACATCTAGTTTTGCTTTGTTTATGTGCTTTTTTTTTCATGAATAAACGGCTCACTGCATCTAGACTGGAGCCGGAGTTGGAGTTAAAGATTGTTGAGGAGGTGGAGTCGGAGCCAAAATTGATGATCATGGAGGAGTCGGGAGTCGGAGCTGGAGTCAGTTTAGAAACATAGAGTTGGAGTCGGAGTTGGAGTCAGAATAAGTTTTAACCGATTCCACAGCCCTGGTTAGAGCCTTTTTTAACTTCAGGCGTCAGTGTCACACTTTTTGTTGGTTTGTTTGTTTGTTGGTTTGTTTTTTTTGTCCTGTGTCCTGATTTTGGTGCCGATATTTGTAGGTTACGTGAAAATGTATTAACATGGTGCAAATTATGTTTCAAGAAAAAAGAAACAAAAGAAGCATAACAAGAAAAAGAGGAATTGTTTAGTCGGTGATGATGATGATGATGATGATGATGATGGTAACGATGGTGATGGTAACGATGGTGATGCTTTAATGTTTGAAATAATGTGGATGTTAATCTTAGTCTTAAGTGTATTTCACTTTTTGTTTGGCGCTTACTCTGGACCCCACTAGGCTGTCCTGGGGGGCAAGACACAACCGTCATTCCCAACTCCTTGCATAGAGTGACTGTTTTTTTGGTTGTTTTTTTAAATTATTGAATTCTATCATCGGGGGTTCGAGCCTCAGCTCGGTCCGACGTTGTGTCCTTGGGAAAGGCACTTTACTCGAACTTCCCACTTGGCTCATTCCTATCGGAGACGGACGTTAAACTCGGAGGTCCCGCCCCTTAAATAACCTCATAGTGTTGATAGGGGCGTTAAACCTATACCATTTCACCATTTTTTGAATTCTATCATATAAGGATAACCAAAAGCCCCCCCCTCCCTGGGGCAGTGCCACTTACTGAAGTGTCTTTAGACCATTCCCAAAGGGGGCACATTTCTCGTTCTTATTCACAGTAGAATTGTAAATGGGCTGATTCAACAATGTCATGCTCATAACTGTGTCTGAACTACAACAGGGAACTGCTTCTTTTTCTTTCCTAATCCTTACTATCATCATTTTCCTCTACTTCTTTGGTATGCTTGTCACACTCTTGTGACCCGCTATTTCCGGGGTGCCTTGAAAGTCAAAACAGACTTTGTGCTGTTAAAGCTAGAGAGGTGAGCAGAGTCAGCCCGATTCCCTGTAAAGACTTCTTTGTTGATGTCTTTCCCTTGACGCTCGTATGACCCTATGCAGTTGCGAGCACCGTAAAACCTCTACCAAATAGAAAAACAAAAGAAGCTAACTGGACAGATTTACTTTGTGACTGTGTGCCTCATGATATGTCATTCAAATAGATGTGCCTAAGAACCTGCTTTTTTGTGTCCTGATGACCATAGTTTCAGGCGTTGATCACTGTCTCTTTTATACTGTTCTCTATATCTAGATTCTCTTCATCTGAAGTTCAAGTCTACAAAAACTTGAAATGAAGATTCCTGTAAGAGGTCTAAAATTATAGACATGTATTACCTTTTTAAAAATATATCTCTTGATTTCAGTGCTTTCACTTTTTTTGCTTTTTCTAAAGTAATGAATGTGGGTACTCCTGGTTGTTTACTTTTTCAGTGACTGTCTGTACTCTTTACTCATAGAAGGCACAGATTAAGGATACTCCCAGGAATTTGTGTTGGAAGCAGTACATTTTGACATGACATGCTATGCAGATAGTTAAACAAGTTTCTGAAAGAAGAGGAAATAATGATTTGTCTGTGAATGCTACACTTTTGATACTGTACAGTGTGAGAATTTTATGGATCAATATTGTCACTGGTGTCTGACAAAAATAAGATAAAAATTTGATCCACCTTCTTAATCTTTATTTTCAGGGTGTATCTCGAGAGAAGTTTCTTGCCAGTGCGAAGGAGCTCTTGTCCTTTGTCAACAAATCGCCATCACCTTTTCATGGTTTGTACTCTTTTGTATCATATCTAACAAATACTTGATTTTTTTAAAGGAAACTGCAGTTTTAATATCAAGAGCAGGTCTCTACTTCTACATTTCTCAGCTCTCAAAAGAGTCCAGGTACTTGGGTCACAACTTTTGTTGTGGGCTATTGAGGCTTGTCTGAGACTAATGATAGATCTTAGATGAGGTTAATAAAGCCTATTAAATTTTTGTTTCTATGTAACTTGAGAAAATGCTGTAAAGATAAGTGTTAAGAAAGCTGGAACACAAATATTAGACATCAACAGTGTTTGGGTTGTTCAGTCCATACTGTTATTGTTAGAGCAGATAATGTATCGCTGAAACGGTACTGCTGAGAATTTCATAAAAACTGTGTGTGTAGAGTTTTTCTCAACTAATGAATTAGTGTTTCTATGAAAAAGATACAAGATTTTACATCAAGAAAGCAAGAAGGGTAAAAAAGTGGTTGCTGCTTCCCTACCCCTTTCTATTTATGTCTTGTTGTTATGGATCCAGACGTTTTATTTCTGAATTAAGCTATTTATTTATGTTTTATCATATGTTCAAACCGTGTCCTTTAGTAAATATGCTTGATGAAGTTTCAAGCAAAATGGAATCGTCTTGTGTACGAGACATTTCTTTCTTTCTATTTATAGATTTTGTACATTTATTTGATTCCAACATTTTTTTCCATCTTTGCGATTGTGACTTTTGCTATTCGTTTTAAAAAAATTTCTTGAGTATGGAAGCCTAGAGTGGGTGGTTGGCGGGTGTTCAGGTGTGGTTTGCTTCTTCTTTCCTATAAAAAATATATCGTCCTTATATCTCCCCCCCCCTTCTTTTTTATGTTTGTTACTCTCTTGTAACACCTCTAATCTTCTGGCGCTCATATGACCTTATGCAGTTGCGAGTGCCGAAAAACCTCTACTAAAACTTTAAAAAACCCAGAAGCCTAGAATATTTTAAAAAAGACTTATCACCAATTGTTAAGTCTTTTTATGAAGCAAAAGTTAAATAAACAAAAAATGCCTGCAAATGTAAGCGAAGTATGGGTATAATGTTGACAAACCTCCTATTTATTATGAATATGAAGCTGTCACTCACATGCCATCCTACCCCATGTGAAATTTCAGTGGGTTCAGGTAGAAAGCACATTTTAGGTGAACTTTGTATATTGAAACAAAGTCTGTCAGCTAATAATGTAAAACATTTAATTTAGGAATCTTTTATCCTTCTGTTCAGCTGTTGATGAAGTGAAAAAGTCTCTGCAGAAGGTTGGCTTTCAAGAACTGAAAGAGACAGAGCAATGGACCATTGCTCCTATGAAAAAGGTATGTGTGTGTGTATGTGTGTGTGTGTGTGTGTATGTGTGTGTGTATGTGTGTGTGTTATGATCTTAAATATAATAATAATAGGTTACATTATTTAGAGCGTGTCCCAACTTGTTGGCAGTGTTGCAGGGCAAATTTTTCTTTTGGTTGTTAAGAACGAAACAGCTTTTCTTTCCCAAACAAATCCTGTTATATTTTTAAACATTCTCAGCTTTTTGGAAAGCATTTTATGGAAGCTGCCTTTTACAAGTGCTCAGATACTAACATACAGGCAAGATCTTTTTCTTAATTCAGTGCCCATTCTCACTTGTATAAAATGAGAACAATTTGTATAAAGTGTCATTCTCAATGGCACAGTATTATATATCAGTATTGGGCACAGACTTGCAGTCAAGCCTGTGACCTTTTAATTGCAAGTCTAGCAGCTCCACCACTAAATTCTGACATGGGTGGTTGGAGGGCGCCACTTCTAGGTCCTATGATTTTTCTTTCCCCCTTTTGTTTCTATCTGTCCTACTCTTTCCCTGCATTGAATGACCTTTGTTGTGTTGATGTGTTTCTAGTTTCTCATTACTTAAGCAAAATCAAGATTATCATATTTTTCTTTTAAATGAATGCCATTGCAATATTTCTTCAACAGTAGTTGGATGCCTAATCTTTGCCTTTCGTGTGAATAGCTCTTGGTATGCCTAGTCCACAAGTCTTTAAAAATGTCACACCACTTCATCTGTCTCCGATAGACTAGGGGAAACAGTAGAAGAGGGGAAAGAAGTAGAGCATACCAGTGACACATTCTAACCAAGTGCTGGAAAAGAGTCTCACATAAAGCTTTTGGTGAAGTGGAAACCGGTAATGGCAGTGCATGAAGGACAAAGCTATTTGCATAGCCATACAAACATGAATTGCAGAGATGTTCATAGCAAGTAACTGACTATAAACGGACTATTGAAAAAAAAAACCCTAACCCCTCCACTTGGTCCTGTTATCTTATCATCTTGTCAGTTACAGGTGCCTTTTCAGATCCAAAAAGGTTGATAACTGTCTGTCAATGATTGTTTTTGGCCTCTCATAAGCGTATTTTTGGCCTCATAAGTATAAGGAGGCTATCCTGTATTTTGCCAGTGGTATAATTTTGGTGTAAGAATTGTTAACTTATTGGGACTATCCACTGTCCTTGGACAAAATGTCTCTTTACTGTCTGTATGATAGCCTACTTGTGTCTAAAGTTTCTATTTACTAACGTCTGTATATTAATATACATACTACTACTACTAATAATAATGGACTGCATTTATATAGCGCATATCAACTTACGAAATGCTCTATGCACTTAACATGAAACATATTATGGAATTACAAATCTATTTTATAGGAACATAGCATTACATATGTGTGCACACACATACTCACACGTGCACGCACCCATACACACATACACACGTACATACACACATACATACATACGCACATAAAAACTCAGGACAATCTACAGCTTGGATGGATTCTGTCTAATCAAAATATGATGAAAATAGAAATGCTTTCAGTTTTTTCTTAAAAATTTCTAGATTTTCTGCTTCTCTGATAGTTTTTGGAAGCCTATTCCAAACAAATGGAGCAAAATATGAAAAAGAGCGTTGGCCGTATGATTTGTAATTTATTTAAGGTTTAACAAGGGTTGTTTTGTCACTTGATGATCTGAGCGTTCTAGGTGGTACATAGGGTGTTAAAAACTGTTTTAGGTAGTCAGGTGATAGGTAATGACTTGTAAGCGCTTGTAGCACTTTAAACAGATTTTATATATGATACGCTCTTTCACCGGGAGCCGGTGTAGTTCTTTTTTAATAGGAGTCACAGGGTCATGCTTTAATTTCTTAGTAATTATTTTGGCAACAATATTTTGTACTCTTTGTAATTGTTGTAACTGTTCATCAGGTACACCAGCAAGTAAGGAATTGCAATAATCAATCCTTGACAAAATAACTGATGTTATTAAAGTTTTGGTGACATCAACAGATATATATTTTCTAATGCTCCCTATTTTCTTCAGTTATCAGTTGAATATATAGATTTTTTACAAAGATTAGGTACATGGGATTTCATTGACATATCTTGGATGTTTATACTGTTGTCGATTTCATTGCATGCACTGCTACGAACAAATAATATTTCGATGTTATCCTCATTTAATTTTAATTTGTTCTTGAGCATCCCTTTTCTAATATCATTGATACATCTGGCGATTCTATCTATGAAATTGTGTAAATTTTCAGTAGTAGTGAATCCATACAGCTGTATGTACATACAAATATACACTGCAGTAAATATGATTTGTTGTGTTCTTGTTCATGTGACATTACTTTGTCTGGGACTTGAGTAATTTACTACAGTCAGTATCATTGTGTTTGTGTTTTTTCATGTTGTGTTCTAGTACTATGTGACCAAGAATGGGTCGGCGATCATCGCTTTCGCTGTGGGCGGCCAGTACAAGGCTGGAAATGGCTTCAGCATTGTGGGAGCTCACACAGACAGCCCTTGCCTCAAGGTTGGGAATTGTAGTGATCAGTGTTATACTCACAGTCGGAGTACAATTGGCTTAGTTATTTATTTTAGAATTCTACTTATTTGTACAGGCAAAATGTATGTTACTTGTTTTGTACCCTCATAATTGGAGGATTTTGTTTCATATACTAAAAATCAAATTGAGGGAGACATTTTCCTGCTCAAAGTATTCTTAATCTCTGCCACTCTAGGATCGTCAGATTGGCATGAACCCCTGTTCTATGCTCAGAATATCTTTATCTTTTACAAGTCGAAAGGATATTCATTGAGTCACATTTATCTATAAATACTGTAGTCTCCGCCTAAGATCCCGCTGTTTTAAGAAAACAGAATATTTACCATACAAAAGTCACCCCTAAAATCCCGCTCTGATTCGTTCTGAAGGGAAACATTCGGAGGAGATCCCGCATTTCAGATCATAATTTACGGAACAAAAACCCACGCAGGCACAGCTGATCAACCAATAGTGAAAAGTTGAGATTTACTGAACTGCCCGTCACATAAAAGATGAGCCACTCTTGTGAATGTGATCACATAAACGTTGTAAAACTCGATGAAATGGTACAATGTTTGCCCCACACGGGATCACTCCGAGATGTGAACTGATCAATGCGTTTGTTTTCCCTGAATATCGCACTCGCATCTAAGATCTCCACCTAAAACTACATCACTCTCTGTGTGGGTAAGGCCTACACGTTTACTCCAGGCGGGATCACATTGAACTGTGAACTCTTCCCTGATCTTCGCAGCTGTAAATTGTCTCTATTCGCGAATATGGGAGACAGACTAAATTTAATTGGTGTTGTCACAACGTAATAGTGCGTAACGACAAAGGCGGGGGGAACTCGGTCAGAGATGGAAAGCCATACATTTTTTACAGGTAATGGAAGAGGAAGGGCAACTGGATAAGCATAGAACTTGAGACTCTCGATTGGATAGTAAGTGTAAATGGCCTGCCTCATGCCACTGTGATTGGTCATCCAGGTTGACCACTCTTTGCTCGCCATAATATATCATGAACCCACTCAGGTGTCACGTCAGTTCATTTTAGAGTGGAGGAAGATCATTTTTAACAGTTATTGGCCATAATAATATGGGTTAAGATAGATTCTTCCCTCGGTCCAGCGACTGAGATCCTGCTCACCTAAGATCCTGCATTTTCCTTGCTCCCGATCACCGGGATCTTAGGCGGAGACTACAGTATATATATAATGCCTTTGAGTTTCTTTTTTTTAATGAATTTTTTTTTTCTTAATTGACAGAAGGGTAAAAATGGGTACCAAAATGGCGTGGTCACTGTGAAGAGAATAGTGGCGCGGTCACAGTGAAGAGAATAGTGGCGCGGTCACAGTGAAGAGAATAGTGGCGCGGTCACAGTGAAGAGAATAGTGGCGCGGTCACAGTGAAGAGAATAGTGGCGTGGTCACAGTGAAGAGAATAGTATAAAGAGGAAAAAGTTTACAAGGTCATTTTCTTTCTGCTCAGGTGAAGCCAGTGTCTGCGAAGACTAAAAATGGTTTTTGCCAAGTGGGTGTGGAGTGCTACGGTGGAGGAATCTGGAACACGTGGTTTGACCGGGACTTGACCGTAGCGGGAAGAGTTTTGGTCAAGGACAAGGTAAGAGTTGAGACTGCTTTTACCCCTCTACTGTTCTCATTCTTGTCTGACTATGTCTGCTCATTTATTTCACTTCCTGTGCATAAAGCAGCCTTCTCGTATGCTCGTTTTTTTTTTCAGCTTGTAACTTAAAGTAAGTTGTGACGTGTGTTTTTGTTCATTTGCACTCTAAAGTGTGAGTGAAAATAAATTTTGTCTTCTTTTGTGGTAAAATGTAAATTAAAGTAAATTCTGACTTCTAACTGTTCATGCTCTTCGACTTCAATGGTTGCTCATTTGTTCAACTTTCTGTGCACATAAAAGCCTTTTAGTGTTCACATTCTTTTGCACTTAGTGCGAGTGAAAGTAAATTCTGACTTCTGATGTTGGCTCTGACATACTTTCTTCACTAGAAATGACAACAAGGCTTCAGCTAGGTGTCGGTATTCTTTTTTTTTATTGGTAACAAACTAACCATTAAAGAAATCCTATGGCAAGTTACTGGAGGGTGCCACTGGTTGGTAGGTCCTGTTTTCTTTTCCTCTGATATTATTGTCTTTCTTTCTTGCTCATTCCCTGCACTTAATGACTAATAATTATGTAACAAGTCGCACGGGAGACACTAGTCTAGGAGTCAGCTAGTTTTGGCTGGGTTGAATGTTAGCTCGCGAGTGGTTGGAGGGTGCCACGGGTAGGTCCTAGTTCTATATTTTCCCTCTGTTGTTTCTATCTGTACTACTTTTCCCTGCGCTAAATGATCATTGATATGTTTCTCTTTGTGCTTCTCTAATGAACATTAGCTCTTTCTTTTTTTTTTTCCACCAGTAGGAATAGTAAATGGTCTCTCATGTCTTTGACAGACTAGTGAGTAGAAAATTTGTGCTGTAAGTGTCTGCAGTGTATGTTTCTTCCCTTGTTAACAGACCAGTGAGTCAATTGAGTCGAGACTTGTGCACATCCAGCGCCCCATCCTGCGCATACCTCACCTGGCAATCCACTTACAGAGAGACATCAACGACAGCTTCGGGCCCAACAAAGAGAATCATCTGTGAGTTGTCTCTCTCTCTCTCTCTCTCTCTCTCTCTCTCTCTCTCTCTCTCTCTCTTTCTCTCTGTCACTCTTTCTTTTTATCTTTCTCTCTCCTTTTTTTCTCTCAGTCTGTCTGTCTCTTCTCAGTCTCTCTGTTTCTGTCTCTGTCTCTGTCTCTCTTTCTCTCTCTCT